GTGGAGGTGGTGGAGGTGGTGGTGGAGGTGGTGATGGCGGCGGAGGTGGTGGTGGTGGTGGTGCCTGCACACACTAGTGGTCGAACATGACCCATAGTCGACATCTCCTCACTCGAAGACGACTACTGGGTCGTGTGCGCCTCAAATTAAATGAAGCCTGCAGCGGCTTCAACCGCAGTCATCCTAAGCTTACGTATGCCCAAGCCACAGCCTTCAGACGCATGGGCGTTAGTTTTTAGATCCTGCAGCGGGCAATGCCGCGTGCTGGACACCGCCTTCGGCGTCTGCTCTCCTTCGATGAAGTCGAAGGAGGAGGAGCTAGCTCCTTGCGCAGCACGACAACTCGACAGCTGCTCGTCGGCATGGGAATGATCTTCAATCAGGACCTTCATACGTTGCTCAGGGTCGGCGGATACGGCGGCATCCGGTTTCCGACGAGGGAGCAGATGCAGAAAGCCGGTGATAATCTGTTTGATTCATCCGTGGAGACAGTGAGCGTGGACGTGTTCATTAGTCATTCTTGGAGTGCAGGTCGCTGGGAGAAGTTTCTGGCTCTCTGCTTGTATCTGAATCTACAGATGGCCGTCGCATGTTGCATGATGACTTGGATCTTCTTCATGGTGCTGATGATCTGCTGGCATGGTGTGTCGGGTCTTGGGGGAAGTCACCTTCTGCTTCCCTGCTTTGTGTATCTGCCGATGACCACATTTTTCACAGTCTTCTTCTTTGGCCAACAGCTTCTAGGTAGGCCTTTGGGATATTTTCTCTTTTCCTTTATTGGGCATAAGAGGATCCCATTTACTCATAATTTGTCAGAGGCTTTAAAGGGCCAACCAGGCTTTCTTGCGGCCTCTGGTCTCCAACTGTTTGGATAGACAGGCTGTGCATCCATCAGACGAATCTGGAGCTAAAAGCTGAGCAAATCAAGTCCGTGCCCACCTTCGTTGCGCGTGCTTCCCGCATGCTCATCCTTTGCGATGGATCTTACTTTGAGAGATTGTGGTGCAATCTCGAGCTGGCTACTTTTGCTCGGCACGGAGGTGTGGAGAAGGTTGATGTGTTGCCTCTGTGGCTTGCTCCCTGGCTGCTTTGCAGCATCTTCCTGGAACTCCTCTGCGCCAGTCTGATGGATGTTTCGCAGCTTCTGTTCCCCAACTGGATGCTTGCTTGGGACAAGCATGTCATGGGGCTGGCTGCGACACTTGTGGGAGACCACCCAATCATTCTGAGGTTTGTTGGTTGGCTTGTCATCTGGATGATCTCCTCCATCGCCACGCTCCCGGCCACTATACCCAGCTTCTTCTCTTTCCGCATGAAGATTCGACATCACGAGCTTATCCTGGATCAAATGGCAGACTTCGACGTACGGGCGGCAAATTGCTCTGAGCCCTCGGACCGGCACGCCATCGAGAAGCAACTGCAGGAGATTTTCGGCGATCAGGACTTGCCCACTCCCGGCTCTGATGCCGTGGATGAGGGCGAGGTGAAGGTTCAGAGGTTCGTGAACTACCAAGCCGCCGGTGAGCCGCTGGACCGCTTCAATGCCCACGTTCGAGGTGTCCTTCGTGATTTTGTCATGACGCAGATCGGCGATGAAATCTACGTGCCATGGCCGTTGTGTCTGACAGCTTGCCTACCTATGATCTTGTATTCCTCTGTGAATGTGTTGGGCTGTGATAGCGACTCTTGTGATGAATCTGCACGGAGAGCAGGCGTTTCCTCGATGCCCGTGTACTTCGTCAGCAACATATTGGGCTGGGTACTCATCATCCTGTTGACGTTCCCACTTACCTACCCAGTTATGCTGCGAATGCTGAAGTGTGTTCTGTCCTTCGGTGACGGTCTAGCGCAGCGTTCTGCAGCTTTCTCGTGCTGCTTTCTGGCATATGAATACACCTATATGTGTGGTGGCTTGATCTGGGGCTCGTGGATTCCTGCTGTTCAGGACCCCTCCCCAACTCAGCTCACCATTTTCCTGTTGGTGATGACTTTTTTGGTCACCCAGTGCATCTGCTTGTTTTACAGATGGGAGAAGCAAGGCCAGCAAGCCCTGTCATCATGTCGCTGTGTCAAACGACAGGTCGCGACTTATCAGCCAATCGACGCCTTAAGTGACCAGCCTTCGGCCTCCTTCAAGGAATCCCTTCAAGGAGCTTGATCGGCAGCTGTGTATGTTAAGATCAGCTCTGCCTGGCTCAATGCCATGTCATGCAGGATTTTCGTGCCTGGCTCGGATTTGGAGTGGGTGAATGTTTTTTCCTAAACACTTTGATTCATGACAAGTACGCCCCTTGCAGTGAGTTCTTTTCCTTTGCCGCGTGCGACACGGAGAGAGCGAGAGCTTTCCGTGATGGATGCGGCGTTAATGATTTGTTGAAGACGGAAGTCCGGAGTTCAGAAAAGTGCATGTGAGGGGTCGAGTCTTCTTGCAGTCACCAAGATGGTTTAAAGCTCCTTCAAGACAACCCTCTCTCCAAGGGCAGCGTGGTTTGCTTGGTAGTTTTAAAGCAAGTTTGGCAGAAAAGGAGCCACTGAGGATCGTCTCATGCCAGCTTACGGCTGGTCCCAGTGTACGAGTGCTAGCAGCTAAACTGGAGTTCACAGATTAGAAAAAACTTGCCTTTTCAGCACAGTCTTCTGGAGGAAGTCCAGAAAGGTAGGTGATTCAGGGTTCAGGTACTAGGTTCCCCAGTAGTACCCTCTTGGGCCTTTATTTGGGGGTCTCCTTATTAAAGCCGACTATTACGAAAAGGGGTACCCTATTATTATTATTAGTAGTATTATTATTATTATTAAGGGGTTACTGGGGAACCAGGTAGGGCTCAGGGCTCAAACTGTGCCAGGGCCAACGGATCTCACGCCCAAAACTTTCAGGGTTTAGGGTTTAGGGTTTATAGAAATTGTATAGGGTTCGGGGTTCGGCATCTCCTCCCACCGGCCTTCCTTCTCTTCATGTGCCACGTAAAGGAAGGAAGGCCGGTGAAAAAATAGTTTTCCGTTTTGCTTTTGGGTTGGTACTGCTTTCTCCAGTTGGAAAGGAAGGCCGGTGGGAGGAGTTTTGAGCGGGTTTTGTTTTTTGCTTTTCCTTTTTGGTTTTGGCGGGGCTGGGGCTGGGGCCGGGGCTTGGGCTTGGGCTGCCTGGCTGGGCGGCTGAGCTGGGTTGGGGGCTGGGCTGGGCTGGGCTGGTCTGGGCTGGGCCGGGCTGGGCTGGGCTGGGCTGGCTGGCTGGGCTGCCCTTTCCGGAATCCGCAAAATAGGCAGAAAAAGCTTTTGTTTTTTGCAATTTTGGTAGTTTTTGGGAAATCCAATCTGCAATTNNAATCCGCGAAATAAGCCAAAAAATCCCATTTTGGAGGATTTTGGGAAGCCTAAAATGGTCAAAAATCGCTAAAATCTGCCATTTTACGCTTTCCGGAATCCGCAAAATAAGCCAAAAAGCCTGTATTTTTGCCATTTTGGAGGATTTT